TTATTTATTTGACAGACAGAGATCACAAGTAGGCAGAGAGACAAGCAAGGGGCGGGGGGGGGGGGAAGCAGGCTCCCTGCTGAGCAGAGAGCCCGATGTAGGGCTCGATCCCAGGACCCTGGGATCGTGACCTGAGCTGAAGGCAGAGGTTTCAACCCACTGAGCCACCCAGGCGCCCCAAGATCTCTGCATTTTAAAAAAAAGCTTTTTATTATGGAAAATTTGAAGCCTGTGGGAAAGTAGATCCCATGAACCCATCAAAATGACTAGATACCAACTTGGGGCCAGTCTTGTTTCAGCTCTTTTCCCAGCCCCCTGCTGACTTCCAGTCTCTGGAGGCGGCTAGGACGCTCTCTAGAGCGCACCCAGGTTGGGAGAGCCCCTTGAGAATCCAGCTCTTGGCTGAGGGACCCAGGAAGGGAGTGCACCGGGTGGGCGTGCTCGTGGGGGCTGCCTTCAGGCAGAGCAGCTGTGGGTGCAGCTGCCAGGAGGGCCTGGGGACAGGCTGACGCTCTCCTTCCCCTTCCTGCCAGGGGTGCTGGGCCTGACCTGGTTCATCAACAAGTTCCGAATCGTGAAGTTGACCCCCAAGGACCAGTTCATCATCGCGTATGGGGGCCTGCGCGGGGCCATCGCCTTCTCCCTGGGCTACCTCCTGGACAAGAAGCACTTCCCCATGTGTGACCTGTTCCTCACTGCCATCATCACGGTCATCTTCTTCACCGTCTTTGTGCAGGTGCTGGACAAGGCAGAGCAGCCCCGCCTGGGGACCCTGACTCCGCCAGTGGAAGGAAGAGGCGCCCAACCTGACAGGGGGCCACGGGTTCTAGTCCGCCGAGAACTTGCTACGCGGTCTTGGGCAAGGCGCTCCCCCTTCAGGTCCTCACTTCCCTTAATTGTGAAGGGGGAGTTGGGATAATGAGCAACCAGTCAGAACACTGTCTAACTTAGAAATCCAGACAGTGCTGAGAGAAGTAGGCAGAGTCAGCAGGCCCATGGTGCCCAGTACAGGGCTTTAGGGAAGTGATTTACTATTTTAGGATCTCAGTTTCTGTGCCTGTAAAATGGAAATAATAGCACAAAATGTGGGGGTGGAGCGAGATAGGTTGCTGAGCTGGGCAGTAGGTCTGGAGTCAGTCCGGTTCTGCTGGGAAAGACCTTCCTCCCATTTCTGGGTCTTGGTTCCCCACCTGTGAAGTGAGAGGGTTGGCCTAGATGATCCTGGAGTCCTTCCAGCCTCTGGCCGGTGATCTCCATGCATTTAAATGACCCTGGTTTAGCAGAGAGTCCCCTACCCCCTTCAGAATCCCCAAGGAAACCCAACCTGGATGGCGTCAGTGCTCCATCTTACCTGACCTGTGACTTTGGGCAAATGAGAAACAAGTCTGTCCAGGCCTCCGTTTCTCTATCCCTTCTGTCTTTCCTAGATGCAAATCTTGGCAAAGCTTTATTTATTTTTTTTTTAAGATTTTATTTCTTTATTTGACAGAGAGAGATCACAAGTAGGCAGAGAGGCAAGCAGAGAGAGAGATGGGGGGGAAGCAGGCTCCCCGCTGAGCAGAGAGCTCGATGCGGGACTTGATCCCAGGACCCCGAGACCATGACCTGAGCCGAAAGCAGTGGCTTAACCCACTGAGCCACCCAGGTGCCCCTTGGCAAAGCTTTAGATGGGAAACAGCATTGCCCAGGCATCTTCCTGGGGCCAGACTCCCCTTCTGTTCCTTCTAAGGATAGGGGACTGCCTCTTTTGCCCTCTTGCACTGTTTCCATTGTCAAAAATATTTTATCACCTTGACTTGGCAGTTGTATACGCTGATGGCTTACCAAGTCCATTTTCAATGAAGTCTGCATTGAGATAGGGGCCTCCCTGCCTGGGTGTGAATCCAGCTTTACTACTAGTTCTGTAAGCTCTGAGAAAGTTACTTAATCTCTCACCTGTAAGATAGAGACAGTGGAAGAACCTACCTCTCAGGGTCCATGTGGACATGCCGGAGCTAATACTTAGTAAGTCACCCCTGGCTCTGGCAGAGGGCACACACACGATGAGATTAGCTGCTCCCGCTGCTGTTCTGGACTGGGCAGCTACAGTCCTGTGAAGTGGTTTTCCCTATCAGCCGGGCCCCGACTTCTCCGGGGTTGCAATGCATGTTTGTGGTGGAGCCCACATTTGAACCCAGGCCCTCTGACCCCTCACACGGGCTAGATGACCTGTGTGTGAGTCATTTAGCTGGAAGGGGCTGTGTCCTCGGGAGGAAGCAGATCTTAAGGACCTGCCTTTGTGCCATGGCTGACATGCAGGTTGGGAAAGTGGGGACCTCGGAGCAGAGGGCATCCCGGCTTCAGGGGCTCTAGGGGTGAGGGAGGGGGGATGCCCTGTGGTCTCCCTGCCAGTGTAGCAGACCAGGAGTGCCTAACGCCCACCTGCCCCCCAGGGCATGACCATTCGACCCCTGGTAGACCTGTTGGCTGTGAAGAAAAAGCAAGAGACAAAGCGCTCTATCAACGAGGAGATCCACACACAGGTACTGGAAACTGGGCCTTGGCCCTTGGTTGTAGGAGAAGGCTCAGGGAGCTGGGGGGCAGCTAGGCCTCACGTCAGTTTCCTCACTTGGCCCCCTCCTCCCTCATTCCAGTTCCAGGTGGTCCTTTAGCTGCTTGAGGTCGCTAGATCGAGCCATAGGCAGCTGTGGTGTGGGCAACCAGGAGCCCTAGGAGGGGGTGTCATGCCATCTCTACCTCTAGTAGGAACCTATCCCAAGCATTGGGCTCATGTGGATTCAGGGTAGGGGGCTCAGCTGGGGCATGGTAGGGAGGGGTTTGAGGTGCTGCGATTTCAGGATGAGTGAGGTGTTGGTGCCATCTCCTGGCTGCTCCTGGAACTGCAAGGCTGGGCTGAGGAGAGCTGCACTAGGGTGGAAAATGGGGGCCCATTCAGAAGCCTTGGTAGGGAAGCAGCCCAGTAGTGAGGCTTGACCTGGCCCTGGGCCCATTTCAGTTCCTGGACCACCTTCTGACAGGCATCGAGGACATCTGTGGCCATTACGGCCACCACCACTGGAAGGACAAGTAGGTGGTAGGCCTGGTGGGCAGGTGGGTGGGGAGGGGCAGGGGAGGGTCTCCCTGGGCCTGGGTGTCTCCCCACCCTGAGGAGCTGGCTCCACACCTCTCCTCCCTGCCCGCACCAGGCTCAACCGGTTTAACAAGAAGTACGTGAAGAAGTGTCTGATAGCCGGGGAGCGCTCCAAGGAGCCACAGCTCATTGCCTTCTACCACAAGATGGAGATGAAGCAGGCCATCGAGCTGGTGGAGAGTGGTGGCATGGGCAAGATCCCTTCTGCTGTCTCCACTGTCTCCATGCAGTGAGTGCCAAGGACGACGCTGGCAGCTTTTGCACCCACACACTGACCCCTGCCCAGAAACCTGGCAGGCCACCCACCAGGGGAGGGGGTCCTGGGAGGGGTGGTGGCAGGCCAGGTGTTGTCCAGGCAGAGTGGGTGAGAGAGCCACAGGACCACAAAGGACACCTTCCCCACCCCCACCCAGGCCAGCCTGACTTCCTGGCCCAGCCCAGCAGGCTCCAGGGTCACAGGAGTTTCTTGGGGACCTAACCTGTGCCTTGTCATCCAGGAACATCCACCCCAAGTCCCTGCCTGCAGAGCGCATCCTGCCGGCACTGTCCAAGGACAAGGAGGAGGAGATCCGCAAAATCCTGAGGAACAACTTGCAGAAGACCAGGCAGCGGGTGAGGGGTTGCTCCCCACCCAGCGCCCCTACAGCAGGGGAGGCCCTCTGCTCCAGCCCTGGCCCCCACCGGGCCCGGCTTCTGGGGCCTGAAAGCTGTCCCCCCCACAGCTGCGGTCCTACAACAGACACACATTGGTGGCAGATCCCTACGAGGAGGCCTGGAACCAGATGCTGCTCCGCAGACAGAAGGCCCGGCAGCTAGAGCAGAAGGTGGGTCAGGGCCTGGAGCTGGCTCCCGCCTTTCACGGGGAGTCTGGGTTCTTCCTCCCCATCCCTGCCCCCAAGCCCCTTTGAAGAGAGAGCCACTGCCCGTGTTTTTTGGCCTCCTCTGCTTGTCTGGAAGACGGAGCCCCAGGACAGGTTCCAGAAAGCTGCCTCCTCCTCTACCTCCCCACTCAGGGCAGCAAAGAGACCCACTCACTGCACCCGCGGGCCTCTGAGTCTATCCATGTGCTCAAACCGCGCATTTCTTGGCAAAAAAAAACTAAGGCCCGGGTAAAGATCACAAAGCAAAGCATATGTGCGCTCGATCGTTTGCTCAGGAACAGGTTTTGAGTGGTTCCCAAGTGCTGTGCAGCAGAGCAGCCTCTGTGGGCACAGCGGTGCATCAGCCCAGACCATGCCTTGCTGAGCTTCTCATGCAGTGGCCCAGGCAGGACAGGAAGTGCAAGGGGCCGTGAGCACTCCAGGCAGGGGGTAGGCTGGGGAAGCTCAGGAACAGGGCCAAGAGGAAGGCAGTGTGGGCAGAGGAAGGCCCAGGCTGTGTGTCTCAGTTCCCAGTCACAGAACATGGCCCACTGTAGCAACTGAGAGGGTTCCACTTTCTAGAAAGCTTGTTAACAGTGTCAGGCTTTGGGCTTTATGCCAAGGGCATGGAGAGCCATGAAGCGGTCTGAGCAAAGGGCTAACTTGGGAAGGGGGGGTGGCCTGGATTAGTGAGGTGTCGGGGAATGGGGCTGGAAAGGAATGGGTACACCCAAGGGACGTTGAGGAGGTGGAACTAGCGAGACTTGGTCACCCGTTTGAGGTGGGCTACGGGAAGAGGAAAGAGGAGTCCTCTCCAGCCTTCTGTCCTGGGGTGTTGGGAGCGGTGGTTTCAGTAGGGGGTGCCGAGAATGGCATCAACAAGGTCTTGAGGGAAGAGAAGAATCCGAGTTTAGTTCCAGCCTATTCCACTGAGATACCTGGCGGCCACTTGGGGTCCAGGTGCCAACTCCTGAGCTGACTTTACGGGTCTGGACCTCTGGGGCGAGTGTGGACAGGAATAGAGATGGGCGGGGATGCTGTGGGAGAGGCAGGGCTGTTTAAGGCTGCTCCGGAGATCATACAGCTTGACAGAGGCTGGGCCAAGCCTTCAGGAACTCCTGGAGGGCCAGCATGGCTTCTGTGCTGGCGGAGACAGACGATGAGCCTGATGAGGAACCGCCAGAGAGGCCGCGGGCCCCAAACACTCCAAAGGAGGGGGTGACCATCAGCCTTGGGCGCCATCCCGAGGGGCTGCCTGTGCTTACCCCTGTCTTGCCCTTTCTCTGTCAGATCAACAACTACCTGACGGTGCCAGCCCACAAGCTGGACTCCCCCACCATGTCGAGGGCCCGCATTGGCTCAGGTGAGCTGGGACACAGGGAGCCTGGAGAGGGGTCTGGAGGGCACACACTCAGTGCCACTGTCCCCTGAGGGTGAGACTTCAGCAGGAATGAGCCTCAGAGAGCCACTGGGGAGGACAGGCTTCTCCCTCTGACCTCCTCCCACGCCATGAGCTTCTTCTACATCAGGTGGACCTGAGGGTTCCTCCAGCTATCCTCCCCAGGGACAGAGGTGCTCCATGTGGGGCTTATGGGGAGAACTGTGAAGGGGTTTGATGGCTGGCAAGGAGGCAGGAGGAGTCTGCACCACTGGGATGTTCAGCACGTGGGCGAGACAGCGACAGGCCTTCTTCCAGGCCTGGGCCCTGGGGGCACACGGTGACTCAGGAGAGGGCTCTAATGGACTGGATGGGGTCACCTAGGGAGCCCCTGGTGTGTGGAGAGGGACGCAGTCCTACCTTCAGGGGCCTAGTGTGAGGGGAGGAGAAACTGCTCATCAGGCCTCATCCAGGTCCACGTGGAGTGATCCTGAAACATGGCAGCATGGCCGCCCTCACAGGAAGGTTCTGTGGGAGTTGCTGGCACATGCCAAGGAGGGGGCACATGCTGAGCAGGGCTTGGGGCAGAAGTCAGCTTGGGTCTTGCTCTTGGTCCCCAGATCCACTGGCTTACGAGCCGAAGGCCGACTTGCCAGTTATCACCATCGACCCAGCCTCCCCGCAGTCGCCCGAGTCCGTGGACCTGGTGAATGAGGAACTGAAGGGGAAGGTCTTGGGGCTGAACCGGGATCCAGCCAGGGTGGCGGAGGAGGATGAGGATGATGATGGGGGCATTGTGATGCGGACCAAGGAGCCCTCTTCCCCTGGCACGGATGATGTCTTCACCCCTGCGCCAAGCGACAGCCCCAGCTCCCAGAGGATACAGCGCTGCCTCAGTGACCCAGGTCCCCATCCTGAGCCTGGGGAGGGAGAGCCTTTCATCCCCAAGGGGCAGTAACGCTGGGGTCCGTGGGCAGTGCCCATCCCAACACAGACTCTCCCACCAGAGCAGGGGCTGCTGGGGGAGCTGGGGGCTCCCTTCATTCTTCCTGACTTGGATTGGCCCTGCCCCTCCCCCAACCGCATGGCAGCTGGGCCCACAGCCCCCACCGCAGCACGGCTTCCCCCTGCCTCCTGGGAAGCACCCTCCCTCCCACCAGAACTGCCTTCCTAATCCATTTGGCAGAACTGTCGGGCTGTGAGGCAGATCCTGCCCCTTCCCAATTCAGGCTCTCTCCCAGACCTGGCCTAGGGCCTCGAGAGTCCCAGCCCTCGGAGGCCTGCCGCCCACTCCATCCACTTCCTCATTCAGACCAATCTTAGTTCCTAACCAAAGAGCCTCTGGCTCAGCCTTGGTCCTACCTAGAAAGGGAAGGAGCCAAGACCTCTCCTGGCCTAGGCCAGGCCCTGCTTTAACAGCGGAAAGACTGGGGGACCAGGAATCCGACTGGCGTCGGGGTCAGTGACACCCGGCAGGCCTGCCCTCCTCCTGCCAGCTCTGTCACCCTGGCCAGCCCCCAACCCGTCCAACTCAGAGCTGCAGGCTAACGGCATCTCTGAGCTTCTCTGACTAGAGCTGGGGCGCTTTGGACAGTCTGGACTACCCCAGTGGGGACCACCGGACCCTCCAGGGGTGACTGTCAGGAGAAGGACTGTTGGCTCCAGAAAGTGCTGCCTTTTTATCTGTTCTGTTTGTTCACACTCCATGTATGATTCAATTTGCACAGAGGGCATTCCTGTTTTTAAAACATTTTGAAAACCCCTGGCTTATCAGAGCTCTAGCCCTCCTATTCCAGAGAATTACCCCTCCTCGTCTGTGCCTATCCTGCCCAACACTCCCCCAAGTCAGTCCTCTGCCTCCTGGGCTCTTAACTGTGGCCCCAAGGCTATAATTTTAGAAGTGACCTCCTCCACTCCAGTTCCCCATTCTAACTCACTGATGCTGGGCCTTCTAGCACCTTCTGTGCTCTTGGGCCTGACCCTCAGTTCCTGCTGGCCTGTTCTTTTCTCTCATCCCTCTCCACACCCTGGGCCCCCGGACCTCTTCTGTGCACCACACCCAGCCTGCTGTGGAGCCCAGTCCTTAGGGGAGAAGGCCTCCCCAAGCCTCTCCCACCCCACCAGGACTGGTGGGTGGGCAGAGTCCTGGGCCCCCAGAGGCCCTTGCTCACAGGCACACACTCCCACCCCCACAGCCACCATGGCCAGGCCTGGGCCTGGTGGTGTCTGTCCTTCCCCAGGATTGTGCAATAGTCAGAGTGTCCCTCTCCCGGACTGGGCAGTGGGTGCTCCTCTGTCCCCCCCTCCTTCTCTCCATGCAAGTGCTGTTTGGGGCAGGAGTCCCCACACAAGGGTGACGTTGACAACCGTGTTCCAAGCCACCACAGCTGCTGCTGCTCTGCCTCCCGTAGGGAAGAAACCGGATCTTTTTCATATTCTAATAAATCGGTGTGAGTTTTTTACAGAGTTGAGGGCTGCTTCCTAGGGACTGGGACATCAGGACGGAGGATGGCCTGGGGGCTTGAAGGACTTAGCTCCTGGGGGCCTGAAGGTCTTAGCTCAGTGTCTGGCATGGCAGCTGGTGGCATGGTTATTACTGTGTGCCCAGAGAGAGAGAAAATATGAATAGAGCACAGCAGGGTGCTCCCTGCCCTCAGGCACCTTTAGCCTCCACAGCATGGAAAACCCAGTGTGTTTGTGAATGACAGTGAATGGGGGGTGGGGGGCAAGGGGGACTGTCCTGAGTCAAGGAAGGACTAGAAAATGAGCTGAGGTTAATCAGGTGAAAAAGGTTTCAGAGAGTTCCTGAATATTCTAATTGGGAGCTGCACAAAGACCTAGGATCTGAGAAAAGGCTGGTGTGGCTGAGTCAGAGGGTGACAGGAAGGGAGGCAGAGATAGGACCCAGTGGTCCTCTGTTACAGATTTTGATTTATACGAAGGGCAACGGGAAGGTTCTGTCACCTGTGAAGTGGGGACAATATGCAAAGTGCTCGGGTGGTTAAGGGTCAGCACAGTGCTGGGTCCTGGGGTCTCAGTTCGGTGGAGGTTGGATCCCCGAGGTGCATTTCCAGGAGCTGGCCGCCAGAGGGCAGTGGGGCCTTGGCACATACCCTGGGCACCCCTGGCAGCTGGGCTGCCCAGGGAAAGCGGCTCATTTGCTCAGACCGGAAGTCCAGAGTGGTCAGTAGCAAAAGGACTGTAGGGAAGGACCAAAGCACCCATTCCTGTATCAGCCGCTGCCCCGAAAAGAAAAACAGATGGTACATTCCAAGGGGTAGCAAAGAGCCTTCAATTAAAAGTTTCTTGACAGAGGTGTGGGTAGGGTGAAGGGAACCTTGCAGACATGGGGCCCCGGGGGCTCACACTACAGCGAAGCTGCTATAACCCCTTGACCGGAAGAGCGAGAGGAGGGAGTAACATAGCTGTTACTATAGGAGGGGGCTGCCCTGCCCATCTGAAAGCCAGAAGGGAAGGCCCCCGAGTGACTTCACTGGGTTCAGCCCACAGAGGTCAGCCTTGCAGTAAATGGAGCAAGGGGAGAGTGGGTTTGGGGGACAGGATTCCTGAGCAGAGCCATTCCCCTTGCCCCTCCACCACTCACCCACCCTTCAGATGAAAAACTCATGTCCCTATTGCTTAGTGATTACTCTGTTTGGGGTTATGAAAAGTTTGGGAAGTAGCTTGTGGTGATGGCTGCACAGCATTGTTAAGGTATGAAATGCCCAGGATCGTTCACTTTAAAGTGGCTCATTTTAAGTTATGTGCATTTCAGTTCCATTTTTGTAAAACTGGAAGGAAAGCTCATCATCCCCAACAGGAGAACCAGTCTCGTCAGCCCCTACCTCCCTGTCAAACACCATATTCTTGTCCTTCTTCAGTCATACCCTTTGACTTAGAATGTCAGTCATCACTGGGCTCTTTCAGTAAGATGGGGGGGGTGGTTTTGCAGAAAACAACAGAAACCCACCACGGCACCCCGTTCTGCACCTGCTCCCAAGGCTTAGTTTCGCTCTCGATGGCATCCGCCTACTCCCTTCTATACCCCTTTTACCAGCTGCCAGCTCTCTGGCCGCTTGGGCTCTTTACCTGGTGGGGTGGCCTAAATAAGCCTTTATTCCTAGGCAGCTCAGGTTCTTCTTGGTCTTAGGTTTGTTGGGTTGCCAAGTTTCCCGTTGACAGCCATTATGGGACACGGGAGATCCAAGAGGGACCCAGCAGATCCTCTGGATTCCAGATGTAGCTTTCCTGCCCATCCCCCAATTTCCTTCCGGGAATCTAGATTAATCACACTATCTGGTACAGTTGCCCCCCATGCCTTTAGATTAAGTAACATACAGAGCTCAAAATGACCCAAGGGAAGACTACTTCCAGTTTAAAGGAAGGACATATGTGTTCCCTGGAGGATGCGTTCCTCCTTTGGGCACTAAGGTCTCCAGGCCCACTGAGCACAAAGTTGAGGGGATGGAAAGCAAAAACTCCCCCAGGAGTTTATTTGGAATAATATTGAGAGGAGCCACTCCTATTCCCTACCCCTCGGTCCCTGGGCCTCTACGTTCTGGCTGCGAGCACTGCGGCCAGATACTGGGCACCAATTGAAAGCATGGACGTCCTACTACCCACCCACCTGACCTTGCGCAGTGGTGTCTCCCAGCTGGGGCTGTAACGCTGTTCTATCCATTCGCCGGCTTCTGAGTGTCAGGCCACATTGTAAGTCTGATGCATTAAGACCATTGCTGTATGCCCCTCACCACAGAATGAAGCTGGGCAATGTGTGGGATAGCATAGCTATGAATAAGGTGTTCTGGAAAGTCCAGAGATGACCGTGCTAGCTGAAGTCTTGCAGGCAGGGAAGGGAAGTTCATATCAGAAATACATATTTACTGCCATGAGCTGATAAGCAACTGTTCCCTCTGTAAAAGAAGGGGTTAGTGCCAATGGGTAGCTGGATGGTCCCCCTAGAACAGTGGTTCTTAAGGTTTTGGTGTTAGAAATACTTTACATTCTTAAAAATTATTGAAATAGTATACTTTTAAAAATTATAAAGGGCTTTTGTAGGGGCTATATTTATTTTGCTGGATGAGTTAAGCTTTAAAGATTTTATTTATTTGTCAGAGAGAGAGTGCAAGCTGAGGGAGCAGCAGGCAGAGGGAGAAGCAGGCTCCCCGGTGATCGAGGAGCCTGATGCAGGAGTTGGTCCCAGGACCCTGGCATCATGACCTGAGCCGAAGGCAGATGTTTAACTGACTGAGCCACCCAGGTATCCTCAAGAAATTAAGCTTGAAAATATTTATTTATTTATTTTAAAGATTTTATTTATTTATTTGACAGAGACAGTGAGAGAGGGAACACAAGCAGGGGGACAGGGAGAGGGAGAAGCAGGCTTCCTGCTGAGCAGGGAGCCCAATGTGGGGCTCAAACCCAGGACCCTGGGATCATGACCTGAGCCGAAGGTGGAGGCTTAATGACTGAGCCACCCAGGTGCTCCTAAAATAGTTATTTAAAATGAATAAATCTATTATATGTTAATATAAATACGAAGTTTTGAATGAAAAACAAGTTTCAAAACAAAAACTGTAAGGAGAGCGGCATTACTCAACATTTTTGCAAATCTCTAAAGAGATTTGGCTTAATGCGAGACAGCTAGATCCTCAGATCTGCTTCAGCATTTAGTCTGTTGTACATATGTCAGCCCTCTGGAAAATTCCACTATACACTCACAAAAGAATGACAATGGAATAGGCAAAGAATGCCTTAGTATTAATATGAAGGTAGATGCGACCTCACAGAACTCCTGAAAGAATCTTGGGGACCCCTCAGGGGTTCCTCATTCACACTTTGAGAACCATTGCACCAGGGACTGGTGCCATGTAGGAAGTTCAGCTTGGTCTTTGCTGCTGGCAATTGGGTCACTCAGCAGGGCCAGTTGCCCATCAGAATCAGTGAGGGAAATATGTGGAGCCTATATGTATTAGCTTTCTATGGCTGCTGTAATAAATTCCCACACATTTAGTGGTTTCAAACAATACAAATTTATTACCTTGCAGTTCTGGAGGTCAGAAGCTTGACATAAGCCTTACTGGGCTGAAACTAAGGTGTCAGCAAGGCTACACCCCTTCCTAAGTCTCAAGAGGAGAATCTTTTTCTTGCTTCTAAAGGCTATCTGCATTCCTTAGCATGTGCCCTCCTTCCATCTTCAGGACTGGTATGGCCAACCCCCTCCCACATCACACCGCTCTGACATGGACTACCTCCTGCTTCCACATTTAAAGACCCTTGTGATCACATTGGGCCCATCCAGATAATGCAGGAGACTTGCCAAGTTTTACAGTCCGCTGTTTAGAACCTTATTTCCACCTGCTACCTTAATTCACCTTTGCCATATAAGATGTATTCACAGATCTATAGAATTGGAACATCTCTGGGACGTCATTGTTCTGCTTCCCTTACTATGAACAGCCCCCATCCCTGCCACCATGGCTGCTTCGTATGTGGGCCCGTTGAGCAAGAACCAAGGTAGCCAGGGAGGTAGCGGGGAAAAGAAGCTCACGTCCACAGAATGGGCCTCATCCACCTACTTACTGACAGCCTTCTTCATAACAGGTGCTCTCTCAGGGCATTTGTGTGGGTCAGAAATAGCTTCACCACCCGTGCCCATTTCGAGAAGTTCTTCCATATATTTCCGCCCTAGACCTCACCACCAATCTCCCAATCTTGTCATTTTCGGGTTTCTGACCAGCCAGCGAACTTGGTTGCCACTGCTCATGTATCGGTGTCAATCTGTACCTCTCCTTCCGTGCAGAATGGACAGCCGACATAACCAGAAGATCTACCCTGATGCTCTGAGAGGTTACGCCTTCATCGCTTTTAGAGACACCCCGAGTGTGGCTTTAATGCAGTGCTTGTCCATTTGTGGCTGGTGCTTCCCTACCGTGCAGACTCACTTGGAAGTCATGTCTGTGTTTTCTCCCCCATGCTAACTGCTCATAGCAGCTTCCCCAACTTGAGGGAGAAGCAGTGAAGCAGTAAGAGAGAAGGTACCATGGGAATTTGAACCACCTGCTCGTGCAATTTCCCTGTGCCTTCTGGGCTTGCTCAGACCCGATCTCATATATACTATTTAATAATAGAATGCTACCATGCACGTCCAATTTCATGATTAGTGGGATCAGATAATATCCAGTTCTGGAGGCACGGGTCATTCGGTGTCCATGGTCCAGTCGTGAGCCAGGAGCTGTTTTCAAATGGAGAATAGTTACTGGCAGAAGAGAGCATGAATTAACCTAAAACCCTAAGGGTCTGTAACTGTCCTGCGCCTTTTCTGTTGGAGCTTGTCTGCACAGCAGCTTTTTCGCCATCGTCACTTCCAAATCATAAAGCTCGCGGGACAGGGAAGCTTGCTCTGCAGTCTGGACCCGCTGCAGTCTTATGTTGCTATAGGCTTCCCTCGATATGT